AAAAAAAAAAAAAAAAAAAAAAAAAAACGACGACGTCCGCTTTTCCGGAACATACCGCGATACCGTAATGTACCTATATTATACAAGATACAGTGGCGCGGCCACGGGGGATTAGGGGGTTATTGCACATCCCACCCCCCCCACCAGAATGTCTTTGGATTTTTTTTTCAATTATATAAGATAAATTATGGTCGTGGATTAGCTTTTTATTTTATAATTTTTTCTTCCTAGGAATCAATTAAAATCTTTAAAAACAGGAAACGGGTCATTTATAAATAATATTAATTTATTAAAAGGACGCCATCTCTCCGGCTGTTCGATTGTAAAAACTGTTACTCCTTAAATATGGATATTAATACGTATCACGTCCTCTTTATATAATTATACTATTAATGTCTTATATCACTGTATGCTTGTCGAACTAGCGTTATCGGCACGTGATAACGGTTCGGCATTATTTTACTCGTATTTTCGTCGAAATGTTTAAAACTGTCTTTCGAGGTCTTCTATATGATTAAAAATCGATTTTTAAATCTACTCATGTATGACGTGTGTATGTACAGTGTGGTGATTTCCAATATATTTTATTCTGCGCCCCGTCCTCTTTGTAGATTTTCCAAAAATCAAACGCCCTCCACCTCTATAAATAAAAAAAATTAATGGTCTTTTTTTTTCGTATAATTTGTATAGGTAAATAAATTACACAACGTTCGTAATGATTATTTTTTTTTTTTTTTTTTGATAAAAATTTTAAATTAATAATAATACTTATAATACTAATTATAATTGTTTAATAATTCAATAATGCTAATTAAACGAATAATATTTTGTAGTTTTATAAAAATAATGAAATTACCAATTTATATTAATGTGAACACTTTCCTTTTAACACTTTTTTTTTTATGTTCGCTGAATACTGGAGAGAGAGTAGTAGAGCACCTCAAGTCTAATTCGATTTCTGTGTTTACTTTTTATAACAATGTATTTACAGATGGTCCAAAACTTTTAGGGATTACAATTATTATCGCTTTAGCGATACACGGTAACCGGTCGTTACTAATTTTTCGTTTTTTCTCTCGTTTATGTAAAATGTACATTTATTTAAGCTAATTTTTTTTTTTTTTTTTTTCCGTAAACAAATGGATTATATAACAATAAAAAAAACCTTGTTTAAATAAATGTTATGTGGATATTGAAATCCATTAAAATTATCATAAAAATAATTAATCTGTACAAAACGTGTAATCGCATAAATTTCACGTATAATATCGGCACATAATATTGTATTTTATTATGAATCGCCGCATCATCTTTGTTGGAAATTTAGCACGCTACACGCGTCTAACCCCGAAAAATGTGTACGTTCCCGGGCTCCGCGGCAAGAGTACAAACTACCGCCAAGCATACGCATTGAGAATGTCTTTAATGTTTACCGTTAAAAAATTTCGTTTCATTTCCCCCCTCCCCCGCGGTAATAAATATAAAACACATCGAGCGTTAAATTTATTATTATTATTTTTCAAAATAATATTATTATCATCGTAAATGGGTCCCGGTGGCTTTTTTCCACATTTTTTCCAATTTTTTAAAGTTTTAAAATTATTTTTAACATTTTAACGATAAGATTTTTGCCTTAATCTACTTTCCAATAATCATTTTGGGGAGAACGAGTACAGTCGGTTTTTCGGTCGAAAATGACTTCACGGGCATAGAGATAATTAATTTGATCGTTGTAGTATTTCTGTACTATTTTCCCGGTACAATTGGATATTTTTAGAGATTTCTTCTGCAAAGGAACTCAAACTCGAGAATTGGAGTTTTTTTTATTGGTAAACTGAAATGATAACATGTCGGTTGAATTTCAATATGAACTTCACCGTCACGTTGTTGTAGAACCATGTGTTGACTTTGTACACCACCATAGACCTCCCAAGTGAAGTTAGGAGGATGGATGTTATTTTACAATGTACACGCATAGTGTAACAATGAGCTTTTTAGGGATTATAACTTTCAACCTTCGCCCCATCGATTTTTATGCTCAAATCTCATGTTTTCAAAGGAAATATCGGATTTCAATTACCTTTACAGACTCGCGGATAACTCATAAATAATAATTTTCGATATTGTACCTTTTGAAGGTTTGAACTTTCAACCCCCGGCCTCACCTGATGAAGTTTATTATTTTTTTTTTTTTTTGAAACCAAGATACCTCAAAAAAAAAAAAAAACCACATGTATAAATAAAATAACGTTTAATACAATTGTTCACAAAATATAAAACTCAGAATTCCAATAATATGCATTTGAAATTCAATTTTATCGATTTTCGTTAGTTACGAGATTTTTTTCGTTTTTGGTAAAGAAGGTATTTTAACGAATTCCGGTAAAATCAATACAATTATTAAAGAAAAATAACATATTATGAATAAAACCTATCCAAGCGAATTCAGAAACTTGCGTGTGTATATTTTCGTTGATTTTACAATTTGAATTTATAATTAGTTTTTTTTTTTTTTAGTTCATGAAATATGCAATGCAACAAAACGTATTAAAAATAAGATAGAATATGACCTAAAATTTAAAAAAAAAAAAAAAAAGGATAAAATTGTATAATATCTTTTATTTTTACCCAATATAAAACATATATTTTATTGAATTTATAATTCGTGCTTATAATTGTGTAAACCAAATATGTACGTAAATATTCAAAAGTCCTCTAATATAAAGCCCAATAGTAATATAGTAATGGGATTTCGTTTATTTGATTTGATCGTTTGTAAATAATTCCATGAAATGGCCTAGTAAATGGCTCAAATTCATAAAATGGGCAAAAGAGAGCAAATAAATTGCACATTTCATGAATCGAGAAAAACTGGAAATGTACAAAACTGTTCATTACCTATTAAAAAATTGTTAAAATAATATTTTTTAAAAAAAACCATGAATCATTAGGTATACATTTCGTATAGTTAGTATTATTATTATTAACTATTTATGTTTTAGATTCAAAGCATATCGAGGAATTTGTTTTACAGTGACATCATTGTACAATCAAAACATTATGATTTTCATCGTGGCTTATTTGTATATATTTAATTTTCCGGTAAACAACTTTTCTATTAGTAATTTTAATCCGATTTCCATGTGTAACACGTTTACTGAAAGGAAATTTGACTCGGGTGGTACTTTAAGCGGGTAATGTTTTTATTTTCCGAGCTGAGTTTAAATGTTACTATTACACACAATATTGTAATATACATTTGAACAATAAGTTATTATATCGATGAGTTGAAATAGTAATGCTTGTTTCTCCCTTGGTTTTTTTATAGACTCGATCGTAATACTGTTTGTTGCGACTCTAGTCGGTCATTGGCGGCCATTTATCGATTCGCGAGACCGC